GAACGCTCACATCCTTTTAATTATGTTTGAAATTATGAACATTGCTCAACATCATGAAAATTAAACCTTATTTTCAATAAGCAATCCTGAAAAATATTTGGGGATGCTTAACTTTTTTCCAGGTGTATAGTTATAAAATTACATGGGAAAAAGTATTTTTGTAGTAGAAGGAAATGCATGTCTAGATTGGATTGGTAATTTTCCTGTGATTATATGGAAACAGTCACTTTCTAGTAGGGGAAAATAAACATTTTTAGGCTTGATTGTTTTAGAGCTATATCATTATAAAGAAAGTGTATATCTATAGTAGAAAATGATTAACATTTACACTTGATTTGTAGTATTCCTGTACAGTTATAAAAATGGTCTTTTTGTAGTAGAAGAAATTAGTTATAAAACTATAGGTTTCTCTGTTGTAGTAGAATAAAATACAGGAAACTGGATTAGCCATATTTATCAATGTTCAAAAAGAAAAGGATCACTTTCTGTTAAAAAAATAATTCATGTTTAGGCTTAATTAAGAAGAATCATACAGAACCATAGCAAATAGAAATATACTGGATAAGAAAATTCATCTTTTGACTAAATTGGAAAGATTCTAGTAACGTAATCAATAATAATAAAATGAATCAATAAAAGGGAATTCGTGCATTTATTGGATTAGAAATGTACTTGTACAGTAAAGAAGTTTCTAGGTAGAAGAATAAAATCAGTTTAGATTGAACGAGGAAAAACCAGTAGAAGAATAATCACAAACAGAAGTTATTAGAAGACTGATATAACCATACAAGAAAAATAACTGTGAATTGGTTACAGTGAAAATGATCAATGGTAATTGAAGAAAATGAATGTTTATATTAAAAGATTCCATTAACTTCATCACTGATAAATGTCAGGTTCAGCTTAAAGTTGGGGAAATTGCAACAGAAGTCCTTCTTTTTGTAATCTATTTGTTGGCTTCATTGAAGAACACCTTTGACAGGATTATCCCTAACTCTGCCAGGATTCCAGAAGAGCAGCTCATTGACTCCAGTTAACATCTTCATGCAGCTCTAATATACATGTTTAAAATATCTGACCAAAGAGCCTAATTTCTTGATATTAATATCCATATATTATGATATTCATTTGAGAGCAATGTACACAACAAAAACAGTCATGCTTATTTAGATTACCTTTATTTTCATTCTTATGAAACAATGAATGCCATTCCTAAAAGACAGTTCACAAAGCTAAAATGTTTGTACTCTAAAGACCAAGATCTTGACAGCAAAGCTACTGAGGCAGAAGGATTTTTCAAGCAATGAGTCTACCATGTTGACATTATTGAAAAAGTATAAAATCCTATACTCATTGTTATGTATCAAACTCAGTGATAAAGGTCAAACCAACAGAATCTGTATGATATCAACCTACCACCTTCTAAATGTCAGTAACAAACCTTATATGAAAAATGTGTAATTTACTTATGACTGATTCTTCCACATTTGACATATTCACTACTACTCCTTTGATCTCTTGTATAACCAAAACCTTAAAGACCACTTAGCACACACTGAGGAACAGTATGACAACACTTCTCTTGCTAATGGGCATGCCAGTGTAATAGAAAACTTCATATAAATGTCCATTCATTCCAAAACAATGTAAATTTAACACTTACACTTCAAAATGCTTTATTTACTACACTAAATGAAGTAAATTTAACAAACTATATATCAGAGAAGCAGCCTGTAGATTTGGTGATGTATTGTGCAAGCACCATATCTGTATGCAAAGGCTTCACTGACTTCTGTTTCTAGACATATGCACTGATCATATGCACTTTAAAGAAATTTAAATTGAGAAAGCCTTGAACACTGTCTAATCTTACAAATAAACCCAGAATCCCCTCATGAAATTGACAAAAAATTCAATTTTCATAACTGATATGTTTATATTTTACTCTATTGTTCAATTTATTCTGTTTTATAATTTATGAACTTTTGATATGAGATTACATACCAGTTATTTATGTGTCCAGTTTTTCTTTTAAATAATGCTTTTGGGAAAGCTTTTTTCTCTTGAGAAAACACATCACAGATAATTTTACAAACTTGTATTCATTTATTTTTATGCAGCTGTGCACTTAATTTTATATGTGTATGTACAAGGGACAAAATAGTTTGGTGGATTTGATTAACAGAAACTGATAATCAATACTGAATTTGCTTAGCAATTAGCAAATATTGCTTAGCATCTTTTTAACATTCATCATTTTAAGACATATGGCAACTAAATCCAGCACTAACAGTCTTAACTCTTTGTAAAAACATCCACTAATGAAAAAGAGGTAAATGATATGTTTTTATTCTAATAACATGTTTATTCAGCTTCAAATCCTAATACATAATTGTACCACACATGGCATTTCATGAACAAAATAGTTCCTGGTATATAAAGTAAAACTGCAAAAAACACCAAACACCTCAGCTGTCTAAAAATAATGCAACAATCAATTAACCAGATAAAGAAGTGATTTGATATAGCAACTGAACAAGGTTGCCACAAATCATTTTTCAAATTAATTTAGTTTATTTCTTATTTTTGGTGAGAACTCATCACTCTTTATAACATGGTCTCTGTGGCTTTTTGAAGAATTACTGTTTCAACAGTAATTACCCCTCTTGCCATAGGCATATGAGGTTTTTTAGTGAGTTACATTCAAAATTTAATTAAACTACTTTTTGTTTATTCATACTATACTAATTAGTATAGCATAAAATCGTAATTAACAATCCATACTTTAATAGTATAGAAGTTTTTAGTTTTATAACACAATATTAAAAAAAATCCTGAATTTCCCCTAGTATGAGAAATGTGACTTTTTTTTCTCTAGGCATCCCTTCTTCTTTAATTTATTTATCACCCTCCAAATAGTACGAAATTTAATGTAAATTACTTATTATAATATTGTAATCACTCGGATAAAGGATATTTATCATAGCCTTCAATTTTGTTTGGTTACAGAGCCATCAAACAGAAAATCAGACCCCTCTTGTCACCCCACCTGCCACATTCTCTATTTCAGGATTTGTCAATAGTTCTCTATTATGTTTAGTACTATATTATTTTTTAACCAATAGAAACCTGAGGTTTTAATCTTTAAAATGATTTGTTATCTTACATTGTTTTCTTTACAGAAAAATGTTAATTAAGCTTTCAGTAAAAGCTTTGTTCTGATGGGAAACACATCAACTAGCTTAGATAAATTTGCAACAACTCTTGTTGCATAGTTAAAGAGCCAGGAAAATTATGATAGTTATGGAACATTGTCTGCTTTTTGCATCGTATTATTCTATGTTCTTTGGTGCATTATTGAATTAAATAAACATTATTTAGTGCACTACTACCATTAGTATGAAAAAAATGGGGTTCAGTGACATTGACAGTCAATAGTATATAAAAAGAAGGCCCACGTAAGTACTTTGTTTTTGTTTTTCACATATATTCTTGATTTGTTATTATAAAAGTAACTAAAATGTGAAAATACGAAAGTCTTTACGTTAGTTAAGGTTAGATTAGCTAAAATAAATAATAATAATATAATAAAATCT